TCAGCGTCTAGAGATGATTTTTGCCATATTGATTGTGTTTATCAACAATTGTTGTACAGACTGGCTACATCTTAACCAACTTAGTTGATGATAAGACATAATTGCATGGAAGGCTTGAAACCGTACCAACCTCTTTTTGTACGACATGATGGTGGACGGAAGAGTAAAACCATCAGCGAGCCACCAAGCGCCAATAGAGCGGGAACTACAGAAAATACATGATGCACGTAGTCGCTTTCACTCAAACTGGACGTAGAGCTATAAAGTAAAATAATCGTAAATAACTAAAAGTCGTCCTCCTGGCATTTTTTCTTGCGCGCGTTTCGCTTGACGAACTAAGAATAAAAAGGGACAGCTTTTAGGCCTTTTAGTATACATATATGCCTCAGGAATGACAATGATGCATCGAGGTAGCGGGACATTTAATTTTAATCACCCGAATCACGCATTCTAGCCAACTATGGCAATCTGTGGCCTCTCCCTACATCAAACAGAGAAAACAGTAAAGATCTAGCCGAGAACAAACGTTCCTTGAAATCGGCAATTAATTAAATTAAATTTTTCACCCAACCACAAAAATATGGATTTTCCAAATTAAGGTAGGAGATCTACTTATAATCTCACCCGTTTTCTGGGTAAAACTCTTGTATGGCCATCACCAAACCACCACTGGATATTCTTGCTACAAAAATAATGATGGCGAATGCCGAACCACTAGTTTCCTGTAAAAGACAGCAGAACTGTTTCGCATACTTTAAAAAACGTGGATACATTTAACCTGCTGGTAGCTTTATATGTTGAAAGTTTAGGAGATGGCTGTGTTTATAAATAGCCGCGCCTGATCTCTTGATCTGATAGTTCAATCATAGTGGACTCTTTATCAGTTAATTGTGGCACTCTAATATAAAGTCTAAGTTAAAGGGAGATGTGTCCATTTTATCTGTCTTTCATGTGTATTCCGGTTAACCGGAAATCTATTTAGCTTTTCCCTTTATGTCTCGACGTGTTATTTAAGAAGGTGACTATATATATAGTTAGAAGAACTAAAAAAAATTTTTAAGTTTTATATAGTTTGATTTTAGCTACAAGGCCCTTACATTATACACTCGTTTGTAATCCAATCAGCTAGAGCGAAGTATTTTCATCAGTTTGTTAACCAGTCGGGGACACCTGTAGTGTCTCAGTTATTTTAACCACTCAATAGGCATATGATATTTAAGTTATTTTGACCAATAAGAGCACGTGTCGCCTGTCAGTTATTTCGACAACTTAAAATGGGCGTTGGTTTTCCAGTTATTTTGACCAATCAGAATTTCTTTAGTATCTCAGTTTTTTAAACAGTCAGAAGGCGGGTGGTATCTCAATTATCTTGCCCAAAGTGTATCAGTTAAATTTATAAAATCAAATAGCTTTGCCTTAAATTACGGTCATTAATCTGTTATTTACACAATGTTTCCGTAGGCGCACCTTGTCTGCTTTGACGAGTTCTGCGGCGAACGTCAGAGCCATGACGTACATGATGGACATACCGCTGCCTGTTAGTATTACGGGTGCATATGTGGACAGTTTCAACTCAGTGGTTTGGAAATAATAGTATACAGATGCACCAATCACGAGAAGTGAACCAATGAGGTAAGTTGCCTGAGGAAAGATATCAAATACACATCAAAGTCAGGAGAGAGGGTTTGCTCAGCGGGAGCCCCGATAAGAGCCGGTAAGGAGATCGTCTCGCATAGCAGTGCAAGTTGCAGATATTTTGTTACTCCCTTATTTTTAATTTATTATCAGTTGACTTATTCGACTTGTTACATGTATAGAAGAATTTAAATGAGGGAGAAGCCGCTTACCATGTTTCCCAGTTTGGAGTGAAGTTTATTTGAAATAGTGCTGCCTATTGCTCCGCTAACAAGAAGAACAAGGGGAAAATAGGCAATGGATTGCTGCAAAAGAATCGACAAAAAGCTCAAAGTAAAATGAAATGAGAAGAAAATTAACCCTAATTCACTGTCAAATTTAGCAAAAAATCAAATTCGACCAAATGTTCGAATTTCATTTTGTGAAATTTTGACAAAATTTAGTGTATTTTTATAGGATTTCGTCTGCAGACTCAAAAGTTAGAGTCACCCTACAAAACTCCATCATCCTGTCTGGCAGTGAAAGGGTTAATAACCCCTTTATGGATATTCGGTATGGATGCTATCACATGGAAATGTTTCTATGATAACATAAGAGGGAATGTTGTCTTCAAGCGCATTTCTGACTCCAATGGGCTTTACATGAATAAAAATGGAATAGTAAAAAGATCTCTAGTCCTCGCTGACAGTGATATAACAGACAGTTTTGTATATAACACCGTTAAAATACTTCCAAAAATAATGTTAAGAATAAAGGCAAATGAAAAAATTTCCGAAATAAAAATGTTTTAAGTTTTGCTCTAAATGTAGGCAAGCCTGCGATCATGCCCTCTCCCTTTATCTCGAGCCAAAGAAGCAAAGAAGCAAAAAAATAAATAAACAAAATAACGCCTGATCTCAGTTTACTTTAAATGCAGCAACGTTTTCTGCATCAATTTTGTCATACCGTTCTGTGACGGTTTTCCATAACTGTGGTGGAGAACGCCATCCTCCGTATATTAGTTTAGATTTTAAGGCTAGGGTGTATTATAGGAAATGGTGTGATGATCTTAGAGCCATTGATGGAAGATACTCCTTAACACATTGGCATAAAGGGTGCAAAATTATTCGTCTTACCTTCCCAAAGCCCAGTCTTTCTGTCAGGTACAACGGCAAATATGCATAAACCGCATCCTGCACAAGGCGAGAACACGTGACGATAACGGCAACCTAATGAATGAAATGAACTCGGTAAATTAATTTGTCAATGACTTTATTTTTTAGTACGATATTGTTTTAAACAGGGCTAATACCTTACAGCCCTCTTGGAGTCCAGAGTTACGAAATTCCAGCGCAGCGCTTTATTAATGTAATGTGATTGCATTTTTGACAAAAAAATGTATTTTGTTGTTTACCTGTTTGCGTGAACTGCATAAGGTTCTAAAGTGTCAATAGATACCCAACATTGTTAAACGGCACACTATCGGTATCTTTATTTGTTGGCAAAGGTTAGCCTTTCGGTATAGTTTCAGTTTACTCGGTAAATTTACAAATGATGTGATCCCCACACGTCAATCTTGCAGCTGCTTCAAAGGCAAGTCATTTCATAAGGGGATATACCGATAAGACTTAAATTAAAAAACAAAAAGGTCATTGGACACATTAAGAGATGCCAACCTTGTAAACACTAGGAGTCTTCAACCAATCCCTCGTCGTCTTTGGTTTCTTCTTTTCAGATCCTCCAGTAATCGCAGATTTACACGATTTATCATTGGATTCATCTCCCGTCTCTTTTCCCTCAGATCCGTTTTCTTCTAGCTCAGATAAGCTCAGTTTTCTCTGTGTCTCTTTGTCTGAAAATGCTGTCATCTCTGAATCAAGAGGATAAATTCCTGAATTACAGACTTCATTCCTTTCCGAAACAGAGAAACTCTTTTGCTCCTTGTTGTTTCTGTAAAAGCTGACATTTGTTTTTCGACAGGCTCAGTGGCGTCTTCTTCGTTTTTTGTTCTCATCTCCAGCCCACAGGTTTCATTTTGGTAACCAAGGTTGTGTATTCCAAGCTTACAGACTTCTTCTGGAGCCAAAGACATGCCTCTTCTCCGACGCCGGCTATATCCGCTGTCAGCACCATTTAAATCATATTCTCTTGTTTTCATATTATGATCTTCATTTCCCTCTATTATTTCTGTATTTTTCGCTCCGTTCCTGTCAGTAATATGAGCAAAGATTAACTCACTGGGAAAACTAAAAAATAAGGTGAAATAAAATACGCTCATACAAGACTGTTTCAGGTGCAAGATGGCGATGTAAAAAACTCTGAGAGGTGCAGTCGGTGATGAGGCTGTGGATGGAAACTGATTGGAAAGCCCTCAACCTTTCATAACAATTGCCACTTATGCACGTCACCTTAGGCTTTGTAATCACACTTGGTGCCTGGTTACCGTAGTTTCTGGGTATCAGCACAAAAGTGTGTTAATGCGCGCATATGCGGGTATTCATAGCCGTGGATTGCCACAGAAGTAACAGAAAACTTGTGCGCACAGGTCATTGTAATTGTGACCACTTCACCGCTGTAGCCAGTATGAGGCGAACCGAGGCACTCGCCTCGGTAAAATTTTACCAAATACTGTCGATTTTTATTTTTTTTATCAGACTGATAATATTAGAAGATTTCATACGGCTGATTTCGTACAACGGACCGTGTGTTCGCCTCGGTTGTAGTTTCTTCCTGGCTACGGCCCTGCACTTTGAAGCCTAAGAACAGGGTGTTGCTTTTGTACTCAGGAACCGTCACGTGGGTACTTGAAAAAAAGCATGGTGTTCACGTCAAGAAAAAAAGCTCACCATACAATACAATCTGTGTTTTTAGTCTGCTTGTTACTTTCCTCTTCAAGATCCACTTACCCTTCTTCGGCCGTAACGCCAGTCGCTTCTGGTTGCCTTTGACTCTCTTTATTAAGAAGCGCATCTACTAAGCGAAGGACGAGACTCACTTTGTGATCCTGGTCCAGTCTTGCTACGTGGGTTATCAGATCTACAGGAGAAATAACAATTATAGGACATTCGTACAATGGCGTCATTTCGCTTGAACTACCAGGACGCCTGAGGATTCTCATCTCTTGTCAATTATGCCTCAATGTTTTTTTTATCTCACTAGAATTACTTGATTTGCACTTTACGATGGTTAAAAAGAATTTCATCGTGCGACCGCTGACACGATTTTAATCACCGCTAAGTCGAGGTTTCCTTTTGAAATGACGTTTATTTACGCCAATAATAATTAAAGTTGATGATAAATCGATCGAACATCATAAATATTTACATTTAAAGTCAGAAACACTACCCGCTCATGGATGATGTAAAAAAAGTAAGGCAAATACCATTCTACATACCGCTTCCGGGCTTCTCTTGATTACTTGACACTCCTGATGTGACTTCAGAAATTTGATGAAGTTTGTCCTCTGAATCTTCGTGACTGTTTCCACCGCCATTTGAAAAGAGAGCTTCCACAAATCGTTGTACCAGACTTATATTTTTAGATGCTGCTTTAGTAGCTGTTGTGTTATCGACAACTTCCGTGTTTTCCAGCGAAGACATAAAAATGTCAACAAGGGAATGGACTATGGTCGAAGTTTTCCTCTTGGCATCTTAAAAAAATTTTTTTCAAAAAATTCAATTTTCTCTATACCTTATTAACAGGACCTGCAGTCTTTCGTCTAATTACTGATATTTAGTTCTTCGCGACAAAGATATCGTGTTTAACTACTGAATGCCTGTTAACTGCAAGAGATAAAAAGACATCCGCTCTCTTTCCTTTATCTGATTTTACCTTGCAATATTACCCGTGATGTTAAGGAAATATTTTTTTCAATATCTTTTTATTTTCAGGATCCCTCCAGATGAGGCGCCCATAATGGGAGCTATTCTTTCTTGGTTGACTTCATTTGACGTCTACTTCTTGTCGCAAGGAATTGATCGAGAAGGCAGGTTTACGGGAAGAGCGTTTTCACTGCTTTCACAGCATCTGCACGTGAGAAACTAAAGAGCCCAGACCCTTTCTCGGTTGTTACTTGTGACGCGTAACAATGAACATACAGTAAGCAAGTAAAGTAATTTACAAGCGTAGCTATATATTGTTTTAGAGTATGAAAACAATAGCCACACTTGTAAATTACACTTATAAAAGTATTTTAAAATTTGCCCTATTGATGTACAAGTTTTAGCTTCATCTTAGGTATCGTTACATTGACATGGTCTCCTTTTACTCGTTGCTCATGTCTCAACGTACACTGCGAGGCGAAAGTAAAACAGAAAGATTGGAACTAAAGGTAGAGTAATCCATTTCATTCAACTCACCATCAACTTGTTCGAAGACCATTGAATGAACAGACTGGCTAGCCTGAAATAATCCTTCACCGTTCTAGCCAAAGATAAAAACGATTTTTTCATGTCATAAAATTGCCATCACTGTGAAACTCTTCTTGAGACAATTCATGGTCGACGTGAAAAAAACTCTTAGATATTTATACTTGCCGACATGCAAGAGTAGGTATTTGATTAACTGGTAGAAACTTTAAGTTTATGAGGTACGGTGATATTTTCTAACAAAGAGAGATGGGCATCCTGGGGAGATGTGTCAAAGTGGACATTTTTTATCACCAAGTGCGACACGACTTGCGGCGAATTGCGACTTGTGATAGGACTCAGTTACAGGTAATATAAAGTGCGATGATTACTACAAATTGCTACAGCACTGGGTATAATGAGATACAACTGAGGGGTCCAGGTGAATGCAATCGGCGGACGAAAACGGCGGACTATGGATTAAGCTCTCATGAAAATAAATGTGAATCAAGAGAGATTATTCTCTCTTGTGTTGATACATACATATCCGGCAAACCTTGCAAGAACTTCAACGTCATAATTTAGCAGGAAAAGTCCATATAATACCGGGCTAAAGGTGATGTTATAAGGAAGTTTTCGCAACAACGATTTTCAGCGCAAATCAGCGTTGCAATGAAACAATGTTCCAATCATTCGAAACAATATCGTAAAAAGGTTACAAGTACTCTTTCTTGCGATAAAAATTGTGGTTGCGGATCGTCCATGGGCAGGGGCTAAGCATTCGATATCTTATGTTACTTCATACCACTGGATCCATGGGTTTGCTGATCTCTCTTAGGGGGCGTACGGCTAGTTCCTTTGTTCCAATATAAAAAATGACTGTAAAGACTATTCCTGTACCAGTGACAATCCATACAAGATGCTGCGTCGAAAGGGAAAGAAATAAAAACATTTGAAAATAACTTAAATAAAATTTTTTTAAACTTAAATATAGTTTTATTTCACTTTAAACTTTTGATACATACCTAAGAATTCTCTAGTAAAAAGGTTATAGCTTTTTTAAAAAAATGAATTACACCTGCTCCACTAGCTAGTTATCAAAGATAGGCACGTTTTACGTGCATGAGCTATTTTGAATGCTTCAATTCAGTGTCACAATATCGGCAATCTACTGTCTTAATCCTAAATTAAGGCTATGTTTTGTGCGAAATTGGGTATTGCTGTACATTAATGAAAACGAGACCCGCAGTGCATAGCTGATTTGATGCAATAAATTCACTTTTCTTTGTCTTTCCTTCAGACATCTGGTGCAAAATAAACAAATTGTTAAAGTACTCTGAATATCAACTCACCAAACGTTGCTTAGAGGTAAGACTCGAAGGATTCAAGGGTTCTTCATGGTTTCTTAAAATAATGAAGGTCGCCGAATACAGAATAGCTAAGATTTTCATCATTGTTGTAGATGGCCGCCGGCATCATCATTATTCACGAGGTTATCATTTGCGATTCTACTTTAATGAAACAGTCTTTAACTCTGACCACTTAATTCCAATAATGGTATGAGTTTTTGCTTCTTAAAAGAAAAGAGCCTTTGCTTAGGCACTATAGTTACAAAACTAAAGATGTCTTCATACGTTCAAGTTATTATTATTACTGTGAAAAGCCAGCATGAAATGTAGAATCACACAGTTTGCACGTGAAAGTGTCGGACTTTGCCCCTTTCGTGGTTCGTACGCGAATTATAAAAATAACTCATGCACACAATTTGCACGGGAAGATGTTGGACTTTGTTCCTTTTACAATTCGTACCTAAAACAACTCAAATTGTTTACAAGAAAATTTCCTAAAACGATTTAAAAAAATCACCTTGGCTTTACAATAAATGTATCTGCAATTAAATTACACTTCAAGCAACGTTAAGGTTGATAGCCTAACATTCATTTCGGCTTCCAAGAAAATTATCAAACTGCCGAAATATATTTCTTCTCATATCGTGTTATTCCACTCAATAAAACAATATCTAACAAGACGCTGTGGGAGCGTATATTTGGGCGTGGCTGAACTAACCGTATGTTTGAAGTTTGTTATGTGTATGAAGGATATGTGGGTAGTTCAGTGGTATTGTATATTTGAGGGGTTAGTTTAGATGTCTGAAGTTAAGTAGGCGTGGAGTTATATTGGAAGTTGATTGCTAAGATGGGTGTAGTTTGTGAGTGTAAATTGTGAGGTGGTTGCTGGGTTTCTACATGGGGTTGATTTTATTGGATGTTGGTAATAGAGTCAAACTCTGTTAATAGTGGCACTGAGGTGTTGATAGAAATTGTCTGTATTAAGTGACATGTTTTACAAACATACTGTTTTCCATCAAATGGAGACTGCACACTGAAAAAATTTTGACACGAATATATACTTTTGCAGAAATTTCAACTGATCTCTTATAAGGTAATCGATTACAAACACAACATATGTAACAGGGACCTTTTCATATTTTATTTTTATACTGTTCAATGCAAAAAACTAGACCCGATCTGCCTCTTTTCTTTTCTCCTTGTAACTAAATGTTTCTTTTTAAGAGGTTCCATCTCACAATACTCAAATGAACTATACCTGCGTTTCCTCGCAATCTTTTTCTTTCACTGCTTTCAATTTTGCATGAGCATAATATAAAGTGTATTTCATACTGTAGTCTTTGACAATTTTATTTACTTTGTGTAATTTTACAAATTTCTTCAATTAATGTCTGTACGCCTTTGATACTTTTAACAAGTCTTACTTCACCTAACTTTTATATCCCACAAGAAAAGATAAATCCTTTACTTTACTTCTTTGCTGAACTACACAGTTTATACAGTATGTTCCAATCCACGACATATTAAATCCTGTCACTTCATGATAATGTTTTGAAATGCACATCTTCAACACAAATTTGCTCTCAGCCAAATTGCAACATTTTTAGGTATTTTATTTATTTGCCACACGATTACAATAATTACAAAAAATAAAATAAATATTTTGCTTGGAATTCGAAAAAAGGCGACCGTTTTCGATGGTCCTTGGTCGGCGAATGTGGTCCTTGGTCAGCGTCTCAGGTAAGCAGCACGAAAAAAACGTAAAAATGTTATAGTTTCCACACTAAAACGTGATTTTCACAATATTTCATTTATACTTTTTTCTTTTCTCAATGCAATTAAGCTAAAGTTTTTTTCGGAAGATGTTGTGAGTATAACATAATCTGCTTTTCTTTCAAAGACTTCAGACAACAGTCTCCTCAAGTCTCCCTCACGAGCGTCGACGAGCGGTTTTCAGCGCGGTCGAAAAAACCAAAATATTACCAAAAACTCTGTATGTATTAGAGGTATTAAAAAAAGAGAACTTGTAGACATGTATAGGGACGATTTTCAAAACATTCTTAGAAAACAAAGGCCGTCGCTTTTTATTTTGGGAAGTTTTATTCAACCAAGGTCGTAGGTCGCGGACCAAGGACTCGCTAAGCGAAATTTGGTGATATTTTTCAAGAGTCGATAAAATAAAAAATTCGGAGTGTACAGCAATATTCTCCCAACAGCAGAAAAGAGTTGATCTGAAAACCTGTTCTGCAAAAAGGCACGTCTTCCCATTGCGTATTATTTATTCCTGGCTAAGTAAACATGACCATATAATCGGTGCCGCAAAAATCCAAACTTCAAGAAAGACAAATTAACTTACCTGTCAACAAACTTTAATTTCGCGTCTTCACCCACAGCAAGAAAGCCGAAACTTCGTCATATGAAAGAATGCTAATCAGTAAATCACGATATCTTTCATTATTCAATGTATTTTTTTTTTTCTCGACGAAACATTTTATCATTTTCGGAAAAGTCGCGGACCAAGGGCATCGCGGACTTGCGCGGACCAATGCAAGGACCTCATACTGTACGCAAACAACGCGCAATACAAAAGCAAGTACATTAACATTCACTCTGCTAATAAACACAACTGAAAGAATAAGAAGAATTGTTACCGCTATCACAGTAGCTCCCAAAGAAGCTTGAGTCCCTTTTGTTTTCAATTTTAAGCAATCTTCTTTTCCTTCATCGGGAGAGATTTTTATCACAGTCAACTCCTTGTGTTCCGCATTGTGAAAATCAAAATCACTATTGTCACACTGATTACCAGCAACACAAATCTTGCGGCTCTCAAACTTGATACACATTATTCTTTTCAAACTCTTATCGATTTTACACGTACATTCCTGACACTATGATTCTGATTTGTCATTACGTCTATGAGGTCCATTTCAGTTTTTCGTGGGAGCGTATTCTATTTTTAAATCTGCATGTGTCAATATGATGATGCGATGCAAATTCAAGTTCAAATTGGAGATAATAAAAGAGTTTTTTATGAATCCGCCAGTCGAGGATTTAAAAAACTACATTTTGCGTGAGATTCCGAAGACACGTTTTATAATCTTTGGTTTACTTTACGAAAACGATAAAGGAGAATATGTAGTATTAAATGACGTTCGCATGGCGGACATTCGCCTCGCTTCGCTTGTTTACTTGCTTGTTTACGTTAGCACGTATTGCGTGGCTATTGCACTTTTACGTCAAAACAAGCCGTTTCCCATTACTCTATTTGAGCCACGCCCAAATAATTAATGTCAACTAGCTTCTTCCAATTTTATTCCCTGACGCAACCGCCTGATTTCCATATGGTCGCTACGATCGCTAAGAAAAAAAAAAGTTCAGCGATCGCAGCGATCATATGGAAACCACTTTCCAGCGATCGCATCCACAACGATCACTGAGATAGAACTTTTTATATCTCAGCGATCGTTGTCGCTGCGATCGCTACGCGTCAATGGAAAGTGGTTTCCTTATGATCGCGGCGATCGCTGAAATTTTTTTTCTCAGCGATCGCAGTGATCACAGCGATCGTAGCGATCATATGGAAACCAGGCTTAAGTTACGCATCTTTACTAAATAAAATACGTTTCAATAACTATAATATAATACTTATTAAGCAGGAAGGATGTATCATGTTGTTCACTTATTCATGTTTTAATTGCAGGAACGAAAAAGGTCTGTTGAACTTTGTAAGCGAGGGAATAAAGCTTGTTTACAGGATTAACAATACTTGGTACAACGTCCGAAAAAAATAAGCTGCCTTTCAAATATCTAAAACCACAAATTGTAGGCCGCATACCTTCGAATTAAAGTCCGTATTTATCTAAATATCAATTATTGTTTCATTGGAAGAGCTTTGAAAATGTATGATCTTTTATACTCTATCTTGAAGCAGGTGAAACACAACTCGTAAATAAGTGCGTTGTTTTGAAGCAGCATCCACAGTAAGATATGAACCCTTAAACAGCTGCATCACTGTACACAGCGTTTGAATCATGATATTTAATGTAATGCTTCTAAACACCTGTAGCCGTAATAAAAGACGAAAAAATTGTGAAGAATCAAGATGGCGGTCTCAAAGTACCCTTGTTCGACCTTTAGCAATGTCATGTTTAAATAGATGCAGAGATCTTATTGGTTCCGGCCTAAAACCCCATTTACGTACACGCGCTAAAAAATCAGCACGGCACGCCAAATTTTTGGCACCGTGCGGACGATTTTAAGGTACGGCCCTCCCAATTTTCGACGTGTAAACGTATTGGTCCCAAATCTAATGTGGCACCAGTGCTCAAAATCTTAGGGGTGCCGAGACTACCTCCGGGAGGTAGTCTCGGCACGGGTAAACGAGGCACGGTGCCAAAAGTTTGACGTGCCGGGCTGATTTTTTAGCACGTGTAAATGGGGTTTAAGTATCAGCTCATGGTACCTTCAACCTCATTGGCTCTTGCAACAAACATCCGAAAATACAAAGCCACAAAGCTACATACGCTCACATCACTGACATATAAGCTATTTTTTCAAAACATGCGTTTAGTTGGGTGCGGGAGCAATATGGTATTATGAATTCAAACTCATCATCATCATCATCATCATCATCATTAATCCAATCAGTTAGATTGCTTTGTTCATTAATGCAATTTCCATATCGTCACTTTATTTCGGTACTTACCGCAAACTGTGTTACACTTTCCGGCCCCAGATCGTCTCCGCCATCCTGACCAAGCAGTCCCCAGGCAACCACATAAACGTATATTGCACTAACGAAACTAAGGACTGTCCTATATCAGAAAAAAAGAGAAAAAAAAGGGTCGACTCTTACGGCATAAATTCGGCATGAGGGTATCTTTATTCCTATATACCACGTCTTGAACTGAACTTAATCGATCTTAATCACTGACGGTATTGTAGCCTGTCAAATCAGGTTCCTGCATTTGAGATTCTAAGCGAAAAATAATAAAAAAAGGTTTGAAAAATAAAAAAAGCAGAGGCAAAAAACGTGCACCCTTCAGCTTTAGCTGCGTTAATTATCAATATACACTCATAACCACTGGTGAGATCACATTCAGTCAGAGAACAGAATCCAAAAAACCAGAATCAAGAAATTGTGAAGAAACAAAATAGTGTTATTGCTGTAACCTTATAGCAGTTAACGCTGCGCCTTCTTGCACTGTCCCAGCTGCAGTGAAGGTGATGGAAAGATGATTGATCTCCAGAATGTTGTATGCCGGACTTACAATAACCATGATGCAATAATAGTAAAAAGGTTGCAACCAACTGACACCCTGATAATCGTTGCATACCAAGCACCGATTGAACAGAAGAGGAAGTCCACCGGCCATCATAACCGTTCCCACTAAGTGCCACGACTTCCTTCGACCCAGCTTTTTGGAAATAAATGGAATTTGAACACGGTCGCCCAAGAAACCAGTTATTGGAGAGGTAAAGGCGTCAGTTATTTGTCCAATAAGCAAAGCCAATCCAACTTGGGATGCCGATAAACCAATCACTCGCATCAAAAATATGATGGCGGAAAAGAAATGTGATTGCCCGCGTTTTCTATCTTTTCCAACGAACTCTAAATACATTTGGTCGGAAAACTTCGTTGAGAACGTTCTCGGAAATTTCGAAGCAGTATTTTTTGACCGTCTTTGAGAGAAATCTGGAAAAACCTTTATAAAAAGTGTTTCAGAAATTTCTGGAGCACATTTTGTGACCGTCTTCAGAAGAAATCTGGGACAATATAGAAACTGTTTCGGAAATTTCTGAGGCAACATTTTGTGACCCTCTATAAATAAGTTCTGCATGAAACCATTAATAAAAAGTGTTTTGGAAGTTTCCGAAACACATTTGGTGAGCCGTATCTCTTCAGTTTTTTTGAGACTTATAGTGTTTCGGAAATTTCCGAAAAAACATATCTGGGCTACCTGCGTCTATACAACGGAATTTCGAGACACTGCTCTAATAAAATTTGCTTCGGAAATTTCTAACACATTATTTGTAAAGGAATCGATTTCTAAAGACATAAGAGTCTTGAGAATTCTTTATCTTAGCATTTTTTAAAAACTACTGAGGAATTTTCAGGGTTAAGTTAAAAAAAGAGTCCTCGAAGGTTATTTCAGCCGAAGGGAGAGTTTACCCGTCAGAAATGACACTTAAGTGATTAAATTTCAGACGAGATTTTCATTTTCGGCACAAATTTAAAAGAAGTCTTAATTTTCAGCTGAATTCTTTTCGTTTTAGAATATCTTAGTTAACTTTAGAACGTGTTAAAAGCGCTGTTTGATGTTTAACTTCGTTTTTTGTTGGTTCTCCATCGCTTTTCAACTGTAAGATATCAACATATAAATGAATTTTCTTCCAGTACATAAGAGTGCCAAAAGGGGTAACTGACTGTGTCACCTGAGGACTACTGCCTGCGATAGATGGTGTTTAACCGAAACCAAACAGAGGACAAATAGATATGAATATGGAGTTCATCATGTTCAGGCGGAAGGTGAGCAAGTTCAATTTCAATTCAATTCAATTCTTTATTTCACACTATATAAGATATTCATACAAGTTTACGTAGGTAGGAAAATAAAATGGCTGATAAATAAAAAGCATTAAGTTCATTTGTGTACAGTGTCCAAAGAAGCAAGAGTTTTCTTGTTGGACACCGTCATGTTCAGATAATCGGCAGCAGTAAATTAAAGAGAGGAAATAAAATCTCAGGTAATATCAGTGATAGAACATATAAGCAAGGTCAGATTTGGTTGGTTAGAAGATAGCTAGGACTTCCATTCTTTCTAAAACTTATGAAATGGCAGACACTTGAAACTAGGCGGTACAGTCTCCCAGATTTTTGGAGCGGAGAATTTAAAGGACGTCTTACCTAAGTTGGTGGATACTCTTGGCCTAGACTTACTCTTGGCAAGGGTAATGATCGATTTTAATATATAACACTTTCTATGCAGGCTGAACTTATTCAGCCGCCAAAGTATTCAATGCAAAAATCGACCTTAAAAATGCCCAGAAAATGAGGACTGAGTTAATTTAACAAAGAAATCCTGCCTGGATAGTAGGCAGCAAGCATTTTGGGGGTCGTATTTTCGGGTCAGTCTGCATTAGATTTTTATAAAACTTAACATTTCACTAAATGAAGTTTGATAAATCGACCTATGAAGAAGTGGTTTCGTATCAGTGCCGAAAAATATTAAAATTGCAATTATTCTCTGTGACTTCGGTACACAAATGTAAACTGGAATGATGGTGTAGTAGGAAACTTGGGGGAACAGTAATCCTCTACAATGAACTCAAACTCTTTGTCTCTTTAAACGGTTTTAATGTGGATAACTTGTTGCTCAACTTTTCACAATCAAGGCTAGCAGTATCTCTCTGACAAGACCTAGTTACAGCTCCTTTTATTCCTGACTGAATCTGAAGGCTGCCAATCTTACTCAAACTTAAAATAATCTTACATCAGTAAAAATTCGATTGGCTATAAGAATTATTAACATATTTTCCTTCGAGGTTGTGTCGTAATAGGAAAATCAGTTAAAACTCCAAAATTCACTTTTGTCCAACAATTGTCCAGTCAAAACAAAACAGTCAGAGAGACACAAAAATTACAAGGAATGTCTACATGAATGAAAATCACATATGTACAATATCGTTACTCTAAAATGTACAATTTGTCAATTCGCGTACAGTGCTTAAGTTGTCGTTTAAAAGCTTCTTGTTGGAATATCGTACAATGGTAATTAGTCCCGCCTTTTTCCATATATTAACTAAAAGATTGTTTACAATCCCTAATCAAAAATCAATTAGCAAGATATTTACATTGCGAAAGCCTTTAAACAAAGATATCACTCGTTACAACTTTTAGCAAGTAAATTGAACTAGGCAGTAACAAAAGCTTGTTTATCACAACGAGTTAACTAAGATAGTCTGTTGGGCAAGGTTTTCTTTTGGAAGCGCACTGAAGTTTCGATCAAACCACTAAATACGCGAAAGATAGTAAAAATAGGAATGTCCAGGAAAAGACAACTTGGTAAGGTCAAGCTTCTGAAGATTTAGGAAAAATCAATTAAGCCAATTAATGTAAGATAACAAACAAATGTCGTTAAATTTACCAGAACTAATTAGATTAAGAACCTCTGTGTGGGTTCAGTTTAAACAAAAAGCGTCATTTCTTAATTGAATAGTGTGGCACGTGTGCAAAGAAAACCGACGTCCAAAAGAGCATCTTTACAGAGAAAGGCCAAACCTTATTAACGAAAACCAAATAGCTTTTGTAAGCCCAGTACATTCTAGTAGAACGTATTTATATAACAATTCAAAACACTCTACTTTATAGTGATAATAATAATTAAAATATTATAAAATAGCAATGCTTGATGATTCATTAACGTTCCTTATTCGATAAAGGTATTTTCATTTTGGTATTAACTTATACCCAAAAATATCGTTTTACAATGGTATTATATGTGCTCCAAGTCTTGGGTTAGCATTTTAATGAACTCGAGAAACAGAGCTACGCATTTTGCACTTTTTACAATAGTTTCTGAGTTAAATATTAGATTTTTTGCCACCAACAAACAATTGGTGTTACCATGACAAGAACAAAGTAGCAACCAGAACAAAGTGCCTGTTTAGACATCCCCCAACAATATCTAATTGAACAACAATTTTAAATTTGATATTTTGAAAACCTTTTCGGACCCCTCCGGACGTTATATTGTATGCGATATTAAAACTGACGAAAAACTTTTCACCCTGGCAAACATTTACGCTCCTAATGAAGACGACCCGTCCTTTTTTAAACAAGTTTTTGATCACTTACACGATTTTGCGTGCGAAGAAATAATTTTGGGAGGTGATTTCAATCTCGTGTTGGATGTTAAGGAGGATAAGAAGGGCGGCCTTCCCAGAACCTACCAAAATGCTTTGAAAATAATCAATCAAAATTGCGAAGAACTTAACTTAACTGATATATGGAGAACGCTGAACGCTGATAAACACAGATGTACATGGCGCCGGAAGAAGCCAGAAATTCAATGCAGACTTGATTTCTTTTTAATAAGCTCAGATTTAATCTGTGATACCAACCTGGCAGACATTGTGCCCGGGTACAAAACTGATCATTCAATGATATTGCTTAAAATAGCCTTACACTACAACCCAAGAGGAAGAGGCTTTTGGAAGCTAAACACCTCGCTCTTGAAAGAGGAGGAATATTTGAACTTAATCAAAGCAACTATTTACCAAACAAAAAGAGAATACCAGTCTGACAACTCGGTTAATCCGGCCCTGCTCTGGGATATGATCAAAATGAAAGTAAGAGAAAAATCGATTGCATATGCAGCAGCTAAAAACTACAAAACTAAGTCCCGCGAGGATATCCTTTACAAAGAAATATCAAGTTTGGAGAAAGAATTGGATGAAAACACTGCCCTAAGCGACACACAAAAATCGCTGCTACAGTCAAAACTTGACAATCTTAGAAGTGAGATGGAAGTAATTATTGAGTATCGTACAAGGGGTGCCATATTACAGTCGAGAACCCGGTGGCATAATGAAGGAGAAAAAAACACAAAATACTTTCTAAGTCTAGAAAAACGACACTACAGACAGGGAACAATTAGTCGCTTAAAGAAAAGTGAAAACGACTTTGCAACCACAGATAAGGAAATCCTTCAGGAATGCGAGTCTTTCTTTAAGGATCTTTATTCTTCTAAGTTGAAAACTGACTCGATTCTTCCAGAAACTGACTTCTTTTTCTCAGAGAACTCCGACACCGTTTTAAGCAACGAAGAACGCGATTCCATTGAAGGTTATTTAACTGAATTGGAATGTCTCAATGCTTTGAAAGATATGGAACCAGACAAAAGCCCGGGAACAGATGGCTTGCCTTCTGAATTTTACCAATTTTTTTGTAGTGATGTTTCCAAACCTCTGCTAGAAGCTTTCAATTACGGTTTCGAGATCGGCCAGCTGTCTATATCTCAAAAACGAGGTATAATAAAACTTATTCCCAAAAAGAGTGAAGAACTTTACTATATCAAAAACTGGAGGCCGCTTACTCTCTTAAACTGCGATTATAAGATAGCTACAAAAGCGATTGCAAACCGCCTGAAGACCCATCTCCACAAACTGATAAACAATGACCAGACAGGTTTTTTAAAAGGACGGTTTATAGGAGAGAACATACGTCTAATTAGCAGCGTTGTTAATTACACCGCTATTAAAAATATTCCTGGACTTCTACTTTTCCTTGACTTTGAGAAAGCGTTTGACACACTGGAATGGTCTTTTATACAGAAAGCACTTATTTCTTTCGGATTTGGCCCTTCCATTGTCCAATGATTTAAAACCTTTTATAACAACACTGAAAGCTGTATTATGAACAATGGCTAGGCAAGCAACTTCTTTTCGGTCCACAGGGGTGTCCGCCAAGGCTGTCCTCTCTCTCCTTACCTTTTTATTCTTTCAGCCGAAATTCTGGCTAAAGCAATCCGAAAAAATGCAGACATAA